TAAGCTTTTTATGTGTATGGTCATTTTGTGTGATAATTTATTTTAGCTCATGAAACATGGGACCAACGCTTTACATGTTGGGTTTATATTTTTGTTCTGTGTATTTTATGGAAAAGTGATGTATGTTTCTGAACGATACGATGCACCATGCTGCCTTTTTGAAAACATGACCGAGTGGCGCAGATTACTCTTCGATTTGAGAAGGGCGCTCCAGGAGTCGCTCCTCCCTCACCGCCTTTGGCCGTCACGTCACGGGCCATAGACCGGTGCACAGCGGTTCAGTTTAATCGAACTCCCTCAGTGGGTGCAACTCGATCTAGTTTGCAGCACATATGACACCTGCATGCAATGGTCGGTGGCTGCAGATGCCACTGATCTGGATTCCCCTAAACATCCACTATCAAGGAAAGCTCTACTACTTCTTCCCTGGAGGATAATGCATAGCCGCCGGAATTAGTTTGGGGGTGCTGCGAAAAAAAAAAATCAGATTTTTTGTTGTTGTTGCCTGCACTGGAGGTCTATATTTGTCTTCTAATACAGGACTAGTAAAGCCCCAGTGCACTACTTTTGTTACATTTAAACTAAATGGATTTGAGTGTTTACCAGCATTTGTAACTTGAGTCTAATAATTATCTGTACAAAAGTTAATCTGATAATACTTGTGGAATTTAAAAATACTTGCTTGATATGTTTTACAGTTTCTTGAAATACTTTGCAAATGCAACTTAATTCTATGTGAATTTAAATCGTCTATTCATTCTTTCATTCTCAATGTACTCAATTACTGTTTTGTGCATTGTTTTTCTTCATGGTGATGGAAAGTCTACAGGTACAACCCTAGATGATCAGCCTATGTACAATATGGTAATGTACATTTACATTAAGTGGTTTATAAGGATGCTAAATTAATACTGCACAAAAAGTGGTTGTTTTCCATGCTATTTGATCAAAAAAAATATATAATTTGATGTGGATGTTTTGTGTCTTTGCATAACTTTGCACCCTTTGATGTAAATGTTTGAGGACAGGGTTTTGTTCTTTCTGGATTCAATTAGAATGACAATCACGGAGAAAAGATCAGGGCAACAACTCTTACAATTCCAACTATTGAATCCTGCAAGATACTGTTCTTAATTATACAACTACCTTTCTTGCCAATGTTTGCCTGCGCTACAGATGTCTATATAGTTCTGCTAATACTAGTAAAGGCCCAGTGCACTACTTTTTTTTAAAGTTTTGAATTATTTTTAAAAGTTTTTCAGGGGGTGCTGCAACACCCTCACCTTCCCGCAGCAATGGGATACATTATTCAAAAATGCCCTATATTTTGACTTAATTGGCTCCTGATTACACTTAATTACAGATTAGTTTGTCACCACAATGTGTGGTCACTTCAGTGGGTGGGTGTAATGCCAGCCATAACAATGCGCCTGTCCTCATATAGCTCCTCCCACCAGCCTTTTCTGATGCAGTGTTTTTTATTTTTTTCTCTAGGCAGGATGGAAACGGTTGGAAACCCCCTGATTAATTCAATAGCATAGTCTATAAAAGTGAATAACCCTATCCTTATTCAATATGGACCAACAGAAGAGGCGGCAGGTAGGGCGGCAGGTAGCTTAGTGGTTAAGAGCGTTGTGCCAGTAACCGAAAGGTCGCTGGTTCTAATCCCCGAGCCGACTAGGTGAAAAATCTGTCGATGTGCCCTTGAGCAAGGCACTTAACCCTAATTGCTCCTGTAAGTCGCTCTGGATAAGAGCGTCTGCTAAATGACCAATTATTTATATTATTATTATTAATTATTTAAGAGGGGCACTGCATAAGGATTGCCTGTGAGAGGGTGGAATATTTATGTAGTGAGGTCACCTAGCAACTTGTAACCCCTAAGATCTCCCTGCCTCTCTATGCTGTTTAGGAATGAAACATCTGCACATTCAAGGCTTTTGAGATCTGCTCTCTTGATTTCTGTTGAGCCTAACTAAGATATCCATACTATCTGCTTCAGAATAACTGCACAATGTTTTTTTGGATAACTTTGTTACAGATTTCTTATGTGGCCATAAGGTTCTGCTGCATAGGTGGTCTGCAAAAAGCAGTCATCAGTGTGCAGCTAGACTGCCTCCTGCTGGTCAACTGACAGATCACCAATGTCAAAACAGAGCTCTACATTTTAACTTTCAAGTAGGCCTAGGCAACGCGACCTCTTCCTATGCGCTGTGCGTAGGGCCCCGTGGCCGCTAGGGGGCCTCCGACCAAAAAACCTTCAACTCAGTCAGGGTCTCAACTTACTGCTGAGTTAGAAAAGTAGTAAACACAAGGTGGAATTTCAAAAATGGGTAGTACATTAGCAGTTTTCCAGTTGTTTTGTCAGTCACTCAATTAGCCCATGTCAGCATAATTTTTTTGGGATTGCTAGGTAATCATCACCAAATTACCGACCGGACCGCAGGGCATGTGCTCAGGGGCCCTGGACTCCCCATTGACTTTGTTAGCCACTCTCACACTGATATCATATGAATTTGGCATAAATCATGGCAAAATGTGTAGAATTGCAGGAAATGTGCTTTAAAACTGCAACACTTTCTCTACACCGCATGGCAAAATGTGTAGAAGTGCAGGAAAGTAACTTTAATGCTGAAAAAAAAAATCTCCACTGCCAAGAGGGGCACTATAACGTTTTGCCTACGAGGGGGGGCAACTAAATCTCGCTTAGGGCCCAACTAAATCTCGCTTAGGGCCCTTAAAAGGCTAGAGGCAGCACTGGGCCTAGGCCTACTTATCAAATGTTATTTTCTCATCTGTTTTCGCAACACAATAAACAAAGTAGACGTTAACATATAAAACTTTATTCACATATTTTACATGAGCTACAGAACAGCAACAGTACCAGTCAAACATTTGGACACACCTACTCATTCCAGGTTTATTTTTATTTTTACTATTTTCTACATTGTAGAATAATAGTGAAGACATCAAAACTATGAAATAACACATATGGAATCATGCAGTAACCAAAAAAGTGTTCAACAAATCAAAATATATTTTATATTTGAGATTCTTCAAATAGCCACCCTATGCTTGGATGACAGCTTTGCACACTCTTGGCATTCTCTCAACCATCTTCACCTGGAATGCTTTTCCAACAGTCTTGAAGCAGTTCCCACATATGCTGAGCACTTGTTGGCTGCGTTTCCGTCACTCTGCGGTCCGACTCATCCCAAACCATCTCAATTTGGTTGAGGTCGGGGGATTGAGGCCAGGTCATCTGATGCAGCACTCCATCACTCTCCTTCTTGGTAAAATAGCCCTTACACAGCCTGGAGGTGTGTTGGGTCATTGTCCTGTTGAAAAACAAATGATAGTCCCACTAAGCCCAAACCAGATGGGATGGCGTATCACTGCAGAATGCTGTGGTAGCCATGCTGGTTAAGTGTGCCTTGAATTCTAAATAACTCACTGACAGTGTCACCAGCAAAGCACCCCCACACCATAACACCTCCTCCATGCTTTACGGTGGGAAATAGACATGCGGAGATCATCCGTTCACCCACACCTCGTCTCAAAGACATGGCGGTTGGAACCAAAAATCTCAAATTTGGACTCCAGACCAAAAGACAAATTTCCACCGGTTTAAACTTTCAAAGTTCTTCGAGATTTTCCGGATGACTGACCTTCATGTCTTAAAGTAATGATGGACTGTTGTTTCTCTCTTTGCTTATTTGAGCTGTTCTTGCCATAATATGGACTTGGTATTTTACTAAATAGGGCTATCTTCTGTATACCAACCCTACCTTGTCACAACACAACTGATTGGCTCAAACGCATTAAGGAAAGAAATTCCACAAATTAACAAGGCACACCTGTTAAATAAAATACATTCCAGGTGACTACCTCATGAAGCTGGTTGAGAGAATGCCAAGACTGTGCAAAGCTGCCATCAAGACAAAGGGTGGCTACTTTGAAGAATTTTGATTTGTTTAACACTTTTTTGGTTACTACATGATTCCATATGTGTTATTTCATAGTTTTTATGTCTTCACTATTATTCTACAATGTAGAAAATAGTAAAAATAAAGAAAAACCCTTGAATGAGTAGGTGTCCAAACTTTTGACTTGTACTGTATGTTAGTTTGAACCAACAGTGGCTGCAGAACATAATCAATCATTGAGAACTGACATTGGACTCATGATCTGTGCACTGTTTCTGTGAGTTTGTCACTGTACATGGATTAAATGAGAGGATTCTGTACAGCGCCATTTGAAAATATATTTCCTGTATCTTCAGGGAGCATGAAATAAAGAGACATCGCTGTGCTGTCCCTCAAGCTACAAAGCTGGGTCTTGTTCATGCACGAGGAGTGAAAAACCAAAGTAAATGCTAAGGGTATATACCCCCTCCAATATATCTGATCTAAATTATAATAAACATATACACAATGCTCATGTTAAGACAATGGTTACCTATGTAAACAATGTTTCGAATAAGAACACATCTGAATGTGAAAGTCCCTGTAATAGAATGAGTCGACACTGATTTCAAGTATTCTCCTTCATGCAGATGGAGGCAAATTATCATGAATGTCTAGCTTAGTGTGGTTTGAAAAAAAGTAAACCAAATAAATATAAATACATTATTGAAATGAATAGATTACTCAATAGACTAGATTATATGATTGGGGTAAAAGGGCCAAAAATGTAATCTTTCAATATAGGAAATTAGCTAGTTTGGTCCCAAAAACATTTGAAAAGAGGAATTTTCCCTAGTTTGGTTTCACTGTTGCCATCTTGTGGCCAAATCTGTCCACTGCAAGCATGACACCTCATTAGCATAAACACAAGCAAGCAGAGATGAAATTTCAGTGGTAGATACAAAAACATGTTTGAAGAACCCAGATTTTTCATAAGTACTTAACATTTTGTTCTCCAGTTTGATTCAAACAAAGAATCAAAATAATCCTTCTTGTTCTCCTTTCCCTTTACTCCTCCTCATTTCTCTCCTTCTCTCATCCCTCATTCTCCTCCACCTCGGTGAAGATGTCACTGAAGAAGTACTGGGACACGTTGATGGGTTCCTCGTCTGCTGAACCGCTGTCCACACAGGGAGACACACTGGGCTGGGCAGCTGGCACCTGAGAAGACTGGTGGAGATAAAGAGAGAGAGTGAGAGAGAGCGAGAGAGAGTAGGACAGTAGTACAATGAGGGTTCTGTTTCTGATCGTTTTGTAAAAAAAGTTATACAAGATCATGCCCACAACAGTAGGTTGATGTTTTTTTGTGAAGTTCATAGTTAAAATACTGTATCACCAAATGTTGTCCATCTTTTTACCTCAGTAGCTGTAGTACACAGGGAGGTACTGGGCTTTGGGTCTGAGTGTAAGGCCTGGACATCAGAGGGTTTTTCCCGAGTCACCCTGGGGGAAAAGTCTGGCTTAGTGGTGGTTCTGGTGGCTCTAGTGGGGGTGGTGGTGTTTTGGGTTGTGGAAGGTGCAGGCATGGTTCTGGTGGTGGTAGAAGGTGCAGGCGCAGCCCGTTTCCCCCCTGGGCGGGTGGTGTTGACCTGGGGCCTCAGAGCGGCTGCTCTGGAACCTCGGGGGGGGGCAGCTGCAGGGGAGGTGGTCTTATTGGACATGAAAGACAGGAATCCTCTGGGTCTCCTACCAGGCCTATAGGGGGAAGGAATATACAAAGATTTAAATCAAGAATTATTAACACTCCTAATCAATCTAATCAATGGAAGACAACCGAATGTGTCCTGTCAATTAACTATAATACAACATCCGGTCCTTTTAGCTACTTACGACTTCATCTTTTATTGAGGGGTTTATAACTAATAGATAGTACAAACAGGGAGATAGAGAGTGACAGGTATAAGAACTAATGAATTTCAGACAAACGCATTTTAGACCATCACCTGCTCAAGGGGCCACTCATAGCCAGTGGTGTAATTTGACGGGCATCCTGAGACTCCACCCCTGAACTACTGTCCTCCACTCCAGTCGGCGTGGCCTCTGTCTCTGGGAGGTCTAAACAGCCCACAATCCACTGCTGTGGCTCACCAGCCACCACCTCTCGTGATGCGGTTCCTGTGACAAAGAGGCCTGGCTGGGCTGGGGGTTTGGAGGCAGTGGGGTGGTCAGTGTCTGGGGTGGTAGTGGTCAAAGAGGTGGTCTGGTCTGGGGTAATGGCTGACACAGCCTCCTTGGCAGGGGCCGAACAACTGGGCTGTTTCCTTACTGCAGTGTTAGGTCTCACCTGCAGTTTGTCTAGTTCACACAAGCAGAGACAGAATTATATTAGGAGAATATTACACAAAATGGATGAATGAATGGAATTGAATGAATGAACGAACAAACAGATAACAGAGAGCAAGTGTTTTACACATTGTATTAGATGTACTACTGTATATTCTGTGCCCACCTCTCCTGGCTCTCTCTGGAACTTTCCTCTTCTTAGAAGGAGGATCTGTGTCCTCACTAGTCTCTGCATCAGCCATGGGGTCTTCTGAGGGTTTGCCCGAGGCACACAAACCTACTGGGCCTGCTGTGGAGCCAGACTCCACTTCCTTGATACTGGTGTATGAGGGTTGAGGGAGGACCTCATCCACAGACATAGGCTCAGGGACTTTCCAGAGGATACCAGCATTCCCTTTCTCCAAACCACCTCCTGGGGCAACAATATCACTGTTGAAGGAGAGGAGAAGGATATGCAAGGTGAAAAGACAGAGCAGAAAAGAGAGGCGGCGAGAGAAAGAAAGAGGGGGAGAGAGGAGAAAATGTACATTCATATGGGAGATCAATTGCATTTGCGGGGAAAACTGAGTGGACAGGGTTAGTGATGACTGACTGACAGGCACTAACCTCTGCTGCAGGTGAGCGCATGCGTCTGCGACCGGTAGAAAAGAGAAAGGGTCGGAGACGGTCTGGGATGTACAGCCATACTCCTCCCCTGTGGGGAGGACTGGGATTTCAGTCAGGGAGAGGATGAAGATGGGCTCATCAGGGTCTGACTGGGCCTGGTCCAACAGAGCAGTTGACACAGAACTTTCTGAGTGTTGAGTGATGACAGCATCACTTTGTTGCGAGAAAAAGCTTCCCTCCGTAAAGAGAGCCGTATCCCCCTGGGAATATAAACATCAGACGCACACAGATGAGACGCATATCTTAGGAGCACATTTCTTCACGCAACCAGACATCTGTGGTAGGAATACAATGAATTACCTGGGTAGTATCAATGATGTCAGTAAGAGGGATGACTTGGTGAATCTGTTGTATTTCCTCCTATGAATACAAACACCACACACACAGATCAGACACACTTTAAAAGCACACTGTGGTAATGCAACCGGCTAAACCAATAGCTGACATTTATAATTGCCTTACCATGGGAACCTCATCAGTATCTAGTCTCTGGACCTCAGATTTGGGTCTGGAAGCCACAACATTTGGTGTCTGGACTTCAGGGCTTGGCCTGCTTTCTGGTACCTGGACTGCATAGCGTGTAGAGGCTCTGGCGGTGCGACCCAAGTTGGGTTTGGGTTTAGGTAAACGGGCCCTGCGGGTTGGGGGACCTGTCTGTTTGGGCTGGTCTGAGTCGGGTGTCCCTGACTGGGACCCTCCAGCACTGAGGGAAGAGGAAGTATTTTCCGTAGGGCCATCGTGAGCTTTCACCTCTTCTGATGACATCAGAGGCGACTCTGGGACTGGGGCTCTGGGTCTGAGTGTACCTGGACCTGGCTGCTCAAGGTTTGGGGTGGGCTGTGGTTGTGAGAGTATGGTGGTAATCTGTGTGGATTGTGGTTTTGAGAGTGTGTTTGTAATGGAATTTAGTGTGGGCTGGGGTGGTTCGGAATGTGTGGTGGTATTCAATGTAGACTGTGGTTTTGAATACGCTACTCTGGTTTTCTGAATGGGCTGTGGTTCTGAGTGTGGGATGATATTTGTGGTGGGCTTGGAGTGTGTGGTGGTAGGTTGTGATTTTGAGTGTGCGGTAGTTCTCTGTTTGGGCTGTGTTTCTGACTCTGTGGTAATACTCTCAGTTGGCAGTGGTGGTTCTGTGGTGATATTCATGGTAAGCTGTGGTTCTGAGGTTGTGGTGATATTTAGAATAGGCTGTGGTGGTGGTGGTTCTGACAGTGTGGTTGTATTCTGTGGTGGTTCTGACAGTGTGGTGGTAGTCTGTGTCGGTTTGGGCTGTGTGGTCCTAGCAGCCCTTCCCAGGTTGGGTTTGGGTTTGACCTTAGGGAAGTGTCTCCTCCTCGTCTGTGAGGTTGTCTGCTGCTCTGAGCCCTCTGACACTTCAGAACCTGATTCCACCTGAGAGGCGTGTCCAATATCAGTCCCCTCCCTCTGTCTGAGAGGCCCCTCTATGGGTGGATGAGGGGTGACTTGGTGAATCTGTTGTATTTCATCCTATGAATACAATCACACACACACACCCTTTAAAAACACACTGTGGTAATGCAACTGTAACACAATCAGACATATCTGTTGGAACACATTAAATTATAAATAGCATTTATGGCCAATAGCTGATATTTATAATAGCCTTACCTGGGTAGTATCGATGATGTCAGAAAGGGGGATGACTTGGTGGATCTGTTGTATTTCCATGGGAACCTCATCAGCTTCCTCTGGTGTTTGGACTTCAGGGCTGGGCCTGCTTTCTGGTACCTGGACTGCAGAGCGTGTAGCGGCTCTGGCGGTGCGACCCAAGTTGGGTTTGGGTTTAGGTAAACGGGCCATGCGGGTTGGGGGATCTGTCTGTTTGGGCTGGTCTGAGTCTGATGTCCCTGACTGGGACCCTCCAGCACTGAGGTGTGAGGAAGTATTTTCCTTACAGTGATCGTCACCTTTCACCTCTTCTGATAACCTCAGAGGTGACTCTGGGACTGGGGCTCTGGGTCTGAGTGTACCTGGACCTGGCTGCTCAAGGCTTGGGATGGGCTGTGGTTGTGAGAGTATGGTGGTAATCTGTGTGGATTGTGGTTTTGAGAGTGTGTTTGTGGTGGAATTTAGTGTGGGCTGGGGTGGTTCTGACTGTGTGGTGGTATTCAATGTAGGCTGTGGTTTTGAATGCGCTACTCTGGTTCTCCGTTTGGGCTGCGTTTCTGACTCTGTGGTAATACTCTCAGTAGGCAGTGGTGGTTCTGTGGTGATATTCATGGTAGGCTGTGGTTCTGAGGTTGTGGTGATATTCAGCATAGGCTGTAGTGGTGGTTCTGAGAGTGTGGTGGTAGTCTGTGGTGGTTCTGACAGTGTGGTGGTCGTTTGTGTTGGTTTGGGTTGTGTGGTAATATTCTCAGTAGGTTGTGGTGGTTCTGAGAGTGTGGTTGTATTCTGTGGTGGTTCTGACAGTGTGGTGGTAGTCGGTTGGGGTTTGGGCTGTGTGGTCCTAGCAGCCCGTCCCAGGTTGGGTTTGGGTTTGACCTTAGGGAAGTGGCTCCTCCTCGTCTGTGAGGTTGTCTGCTGCTCTGAGCCCTCTGACACTTCAGAATCTGATTCCACCTGAGAGGCGTGTCCAATATCAGTCCCCTCCCTCTGTCTGAGGCGCCCCTCTATGGGTGGATGAGGGATGACTTGGTGAATCTGTTGTATTTCCTCCTATGAATACAATCACACACAAACACAAACACAGACACACCCTTTATAAACACACTGTGGTAATGCAACTGTAACACAATTTGCTTACCGCCCCAATAGATCCACAGACGATGCAATCGCCATCACACTGCACACGGCCCTATCCCATCAGGACAAGAGGAATACCTATGTAAGAATGCTGTTCATTGACTATAGCTCAGCATTCAACACCATAGTACCCTCCAAGCTCATCATTAAGCTCGAGGCCCTGGGTCTGAACCCCACCCTGTGTAACTGGGTCCTGGACTTCCTGACGGGCCGCCCCCAGGTGGTGAAGGTAGGAAACAACATCTCCACTTCTCTGATCCTCAACACTGGGGCCCCACAAGGGTGCATGCTCAGCCCCATCCTGTACTCCCTGTTCACCCATGACTGCGTGGCCAAGCACACCTCCAACTCAAACATCAAGTTTGCAGACGGGGACACAACAGTAGTAGGCTTGATTACCAACAATGACGAGACCGCCTACAGGGAGGAGGTGAGGGCTCTGGGAGTGTGGTGCCAGGAAAATAACCTCTCACTCAACGTCAACAAAACAAAGGAGATGATCGTGGACTTCAGGAAACAGCAGAGGGTGCACCCCCCTATCCACATCAACGGGACCGCAGTGGAGAAGGTGGAAAGCTTCAAGTTCCTTGGCGTACACATCACTGACAAACTGAAATGGTCCACCCATGCAGACAGTGTGGTGAAGAAGGCGCAACAGAGCCTCTTCAACCTCAGGAGGCTGAAGAAATTTGGCTTGGCACCTAAAACCCTCACAAACTTTTACAGATGCACAATTGAGAGCATCCTGTCGGGCTGTATCACCGCCTGGTATGGCAACAGCACCGCACGCAACCGCAGAGCTCTCCAGAGGGTGGTGCGGTCTGCCGAACGCATTACCGGGGGCAAACTACCCGCCCTCCAAGACACCTACAACACCCGATGTCACAGGAAGGCCAAAAATATCATCAAGGACATCAACCACCCGAGCCACTGCCTGTTCACCCCGCTATTATCCAGAAGGCGAGGTCAGTACAGGTGCATCAAAGCTGGGACCGAGAGAATGAAAAACAGCTTCTATCTCAAGGCCATCAGACTGTTAAATAGCCATCACTAGCACATTCGAGGCTGCTGCTGCCTATTGAAATCACTGGCCACTTTAAGAAATGGAACACTAGTAACTTTAAAATGTTTACATATCTTGCACTACTCATCTCATATGTATATACTGCATTCTATTCTTTAATATTCTACTGTATATTAGTCCATGCCGCTCTGTCATTGCTTGTCCATATATGTATATATTCTTAAATCCCATTCCTTACTACATTTGTGTATACAGTGGGGGAAAAAAAGTATTTAGTCAGCCACCAATTGTGCAAGTTCTCCCACTTAAAAAGATGAGAGAGGCCTGTAATTTTCATCATAGGTACACGTCAACTATGACAGACAAAATGAGAGAAAAAATCCAGAAAATCACATTGTAGGATTTTTAATGAATTTATTTGCAAATTATGGTGGAAAATAAGTATTTGGTCAATAACAAAAGTTTCTCAATACTTTGTTATATACCCTTTGTTGGCAATGACACAGGTCAAACGTTTTCTGTAAGTCTTCACAAGGTTTTCACACACTGTTGCTGGTATTTTGGCCCATTCCTCCATGCAGATCTCCTCTAGAGCAGTGATGTTTTGGGGCTGTCGCTGGGCAACACAGACTTTCAACTCCCTCCAAAGATTTTCTATGGGGTTGAGATCTGGAGACTGACTAGGCCACTCCAGGACCTTGAAATGCTTCTTACGAAGCCACTCCTTCGTTGCCCGGGCAGTGTGTTTGGGATCATTGTCATGCTGAAAGACCCAGCCACGTTTCATCTTCAATGCCCTTGCTGATGGAAGGAGGTTTTCACTCAAAATCTCACGATACATGGCCCCATTCATTCTTTCCTTTACACGGATCAGTCGTCCTGGTCCCTTTGCAGAAAAACAGCCCCAAAGCATGATGTTTCCACCCCCATGCTTCACAGTAGGTATGGTGTTCTTTGGATGCAACTCAGCATTCTTTGTCCTCCAAACACGACGAGTTGAGTTTTTACCAAAAAGTTATATTTTGGTTTCATCTGACCATATGACATTCTCCCAATCCTCTTCTGGATCATCCAAATGCACTCTAGCAAACTTCAGACGGGCCTGGACATGTACTGGCTTAAGCAGGGGGACACGTCTGGCACTGCAGGATTTGAGTCCCTGGCGGCGTAGTGTGTTACTGATGGTAGGCTTTGTTACTTTGGTCCCAGCTCTCTGCAGGTCATTCACTAGGTCCCCCCGTGTGGTTCTGGGATTTTTGCTCACCGTTCTTGTGATCATTTTGACCCCACGGGGTGAGATCTTGCATGGAGCCCCAGATCGAGGGAGATTATCAGTGGTCTTGTATGTCTTCCATTTCCTAATAATTGCTCCCACAGTTGATTTCTTCAAACCAAGCTGCTTACCTATTGCAGATTCAGTCTTCCCAGCCTGGTGCAGGTCTACAATTTTGTTTCCGGTGTCCTTTGACAGCTCTTTGGTCTTGGCCATAGTGGAGTTTGGAGTGTGACTGTTTGAGGTTGTGGACAGGTGTCTTTAATACAGGTAACGAGTGGAGGACAGAGGAGCCTCTTAAAGAAGAAGTTACAGGTCTGTGAGAGCCAGAAATCTTGCTTGTTTGTAGGTGACCAAATACTTATTTTCCACCATAATTTGCAAATAAATTCATAAAAAATCCTACAATGTGATTTTCTGGATTTTTTTCTCTCAATTTGTCTGTCATAGTTGACGTGTACCTATGATGAAAATTACAGGCCTCTCTCATCTTTTTAAGTGGGAGAACTTGCACAATTGGTGGCTGACTAAATACTTTTTTTCCCCCCATTGTTGTGAAATTATTAGATATTACTTGTTAGATATTACTGCACTGTCGGAGCTAGAAGCACAAGCATTTCGCTACACCCGCAATAACATCTGCTAAAACACGTGTATGTGACAAATAAACTTTGATTGATTTGACATCTTTGTTGGAACACATTAAATTATAAATAGCATTTATGGCTAAACCAATAGCTGATATTTATAATAGCCTTACCTGGGTAGTATCGACGATGTCAGAAAGGGGGATGACTTGGTGGATCTGTTGTATTTCAATGGGAACCTCATCAGCTTCCTCTGGTGTTTGGACTTCAGGGCAGAGTCCAGTATCTAGACTCTGGACCTCAGATTTGGGTCTGGAAGCCACAACATTTGGTGTCTGGACTTCAGGGCTGGGCCTGCTTTCTGGTACCTGGATTGCAGAGTGTGTAGCGGCTCTGGCGATGCGACCCGAGTTGGGTTTGGGTTTAGGTAAACGGGCCATGCGGGTTGGGGGATCTGTCTGTTTGGGCTGGTCCGAGTCTGATGTCCCTGACTGGGACCCTCCAGCACTGAGGTATGAGGAAGTATTTTCCTTACGGTCATCGTGACCTTTCACCTCTTCTGATAACCTCAGAGGTGACTCTGGGACTGGGGCTCTGGGTCTGAGTGTACCTGGACCTGGCTGCTCAAGGCTTGGGGTGGGCTGTGGTTCTGAGGTTGTGGTGATATTCAGCATAGGCTGTAGTGGTGGTTCTGAGAGTGTGGTGGTAGTCTGTGGTGGTTCTGACAGTGTGGTGGTAGTTTGTGTTGGTTTGGGTAGTGTGGTAATATTCTCAGTAGGTTGTGGCGGTTCTGAAAGTGTGGTTGTATTCTGTGGTGGTTCTGACAGTGTGGTGGTAGTCTGTTGGGGTTTGGGCTGTGTGGTCCTAGCAGCCCGTCCCAGGTTGGGTTTGGGTTTGACCTTAGGGAAGTGGCTCCTCCTCGTCTGTGAGGTTGTCTGCTGCTCTGAGCCCTCTGACACTTCAAAACCTGATTCCACTTGAGAGGCGTGTCCAATATCATTCCCCTCCCTCTGTCTGAGAGGCCCCTCCTCTATGGGTGGATGAGGGGTGACTTGGTGAATCTGTTGTATTTCATCCTATTAATACAATCACACACACACACACACACACACACAGAGATCAGACACACCCTTTAAAAAGCACACTGTGGTAATGCAACTGGAACACAATCAGACATCTTTGTTGGAACACATTAAATTGTAAATAGCATTTATGGCTAAACCAATTGCTGATATTTATAATAGCCTTACCTGGGTAGTATCGATGATGTTAGAAAGGGGGATGACTTGGTGGATCTGTTGTATTTCCATGGGAACCTCTTCAGCTTCCTCTGGTGTTTGGACTTCAGAGCTGGGCCTGCTTTCTGGTACCTGGACTGCAGAGCGTGTAGCGGCTCTGGCAGTGTGACCCAAGTTGGGTTTGGGTTTAGGTAAACGGGCCCTGCGGGTTGGGGGACCTGTCTGTTTGGGCTGGTCCAAGTCTGATGTCCCTGACGGGGACCCTTCAGCACTGAGGGAAGAGGAAGTACTTTCCGTAGGGCCATCGTGAGCTTTCACCTCTTCTGATGACATCAGAGGCGACTCTGGGACTGGGGCTCTGGGTCTGAGTGTACCTGGACCTGGCTGCTCAAGGTTTGGGGTGGGCTGTGGTTGTGAGAGTATGGTGGTAATCTGTGTGGATTGTGGTTTTGAGAGTGTGTTTGTGGTGGAATTTTGTGTGGGCTGGGGTGGTTCTGAATGTGTGGTGGTATTCAATGTAGGCTGTGGTTTTGAATACGCTACTCTGGTTTTCTGAATGGGCTGTGGTTCTGAGTGTGGGATGATATTTGTGGTGGGCTGTGGCTTGGAGTGTGTGGTGGTAGGTTGTGATTTTGAGTGTGTGGTAGTTCTCTGTTTGGGCTGTGTTTCTGACTCTGTGGTAATACTCTCAGTTGGCAGTGGTGGTTCTGTGGTGATATGCAGCATAGGCTGTGGTAGTGGTTCTGACAGTGTGGTGGTAGTTTGTGTTGGTTTGGGTTGTGTGGTAATATTCTCAGTAGGTTGTGGTGGTTCTGAGAGTGTGGTTGTATTCTGTGGTGGTTCTGACAGTGTGGTGGTAGTCTGTTGGGGTTTGGGCTGTGTGGTCCTAGCAGCCCTTCCCAGGTTGGGTTTGGGTTTGACCTTAGGGAAGTGTCTCCTCCTCGTCCGTGAGGTTGTCTGCTGCTCTGAGCCCTCTGACACTTCAGAATCTGATTCCACCTGAGAGGCGTGTCCAATATCAGTCCCCTCCCTCTGTCTGAGAGGCCCCTCCTCTATGGGTGGAGTTTCTAGAATGGGTGTATCACTGCTCTGAGGCACTGGGACAGAGGCTGTTGATGTGGTGACTAGGATAGAGGGCATTGTTGTCAAGGTGACTGGAGCAGAGGCTGTTGTCGTGGTGACTGGAACTGAGGCTGTTGCCATGGTAATTATGACAGAGGCTGTTATTTTGGAGACTGGTATAGAGGCTGTTGTCGTGGTGACAGGTACAGAATCCTCAGCCATTCGTGATGCCTCAGTGACCCTAAGGTCAGGGGTCAGAGATTCAGAAGGAATGGTGCTAGTTTGTGATTGGTCAGTGGGCTGTGGTGTCATCTGGTACAGTTGGTTCTCATTGGAACATTCTTCAGTGATGAAATCATCTGCTCCTGCAGTGAAGGCCTCAGCAGCCTGAGACAGGTGGGTGAGGTTGCCGATGGCCAGTAAGGTTCTAGCTGCCTCGTTGTAGCTCTCCTCAGATACTGGAACACACAGAGGAGAGGAAAACACTTTTTTAACATTATATAGTTAGTGTTGTGAGGGAGAACGTTTATTTAATTAATTTTTTTACTTAAGAGGATACAATAGATATCAGCTTTTGAAATGACCAACCTACCTTCCATGTTATCTGGAGACAGGAAGTCTATCACGTCCTAGAACGAAGAAAACAAAAACATTAGTCGTCATAACATAGACACAATCTGGAGCAACATAGCAGCTGTGTTTGACCCCATTGGATGCTTGACCCAGTGATCTCGATTTAACACTGAGAACTTGAGAAAAGTGCTATATACTGCATCTCAAATGTGATACTATAACCAGGTTTGTATCCAACCATTTAATGCAGATGAATTACCTGTCACATGAAAAAAGTCCCGAACGGACTAACGGAAACAGTAAATGCTGGTACAATTTTAGAAATGTTGACAATTTGTTCGTTCGACATGGTGGGATCTTTTTGGGTCTGTAAAATGTATTATGTGAGAAATGGAGGTGGAAACGCCTTAATGCGCAAATAATGATATAATAACCATCATACCGTAGTAAACTTGGAGTCACGCGATGATGTGTGGTCCTCCCACTACCAAGCATGCAGTTTATTAGGCTACAGATTAAATAAATTATGATGAACTTCACAGGGTGGTGAAAGTGCACAGTGATAAGTTTGATGCTCCTTTCCAATAAATATCGAGGGTCTTATTCTGGTGACATGATGATCGAAGCTTGGCTGCCATTTTTGACCCCAAAGAATAATTTAGCTCTTATCCCTAATAATCTCATAATCTTGGTAGCCGACACACTGTATCTGCGAGCTGTTGGCTAGGCAGGTGACAAGACTAGTGGGCACATTTGGTAAATAACACATTTTTTTGTGTGACCGAACCATCAGTAGAGTTGAAAAAGCGATGTAAACCCATTTAACTTTGTTTTTTTCCGGCACTTGGGAATTTAACCGTAAAAGTGATTTATGTGCACTACGTCATCACGCACAGCCTTTTATCCGCAATAAATCTGTTTGATTGAAACAACTCTGGTAGGAAAATCCCCATATTTTTTATGCAGATTTTAGAATTTTCACATGAAAATCTGTCACCAATTGGATGGAAACCTAGCTATTGATGATAAAATGTAGGTTAAAAACATGGCTGAAGGAGGGATGGTTGTGATGTTTAGGGAAATACATTTTGGCCACACGAGACAGACAGGACACATGATGACTTACTACTAACAGGTCCAACTGATGTTCACAGGGCACTGTGCCCATTTCACCACCCTGTGCCCGCTCGCATGACGAGTCAGGGCAGAATGCGTCATGGGAAATACCCAGGACATCAGGCACGTTGACGGAGATATCGAGCTGTGAGTGGAGGAGAGGATGAAAGGATGGAAGGAAGGTTACAGGATGGAAGAACCATGCATGATAAAACAGAAAATAAATTAATAAAAATACATACACAGGGTAGGGTGTGCTGGGTTTACAAAGTATAGGATAACTAAAGCAGCTTTGTGAAGTCGCTCTGGATAAGAGCGTCTGCTAAATGACTAAAATGCAAAATGTAAAAATGTGAATAGCAGGTCGGAGAGTTAATTAAATGGGTAAACCAATGGGATGCAATTGTAACTGCATAAAACAATAAAATCACCTAAAAATAAATACAAATAGATCCATTATGTATGATCTAGATCCCTAGGACTGTAGACTAACCTTTTTCAAAGCATTGAGCCAACCCATTCCATACTGGCTCAGATAATTTCATTACACATTGACCCTTCTAGTACGGTTCCAGCAATTATGGTGGAGCAATTATAGGGGATGCATAACCAGGCCAGTGCAGTACAGATAAGCTCAGTAGTGTGGAAATGGTATGCGTTTCACCCCTCTCACCTCCTCCATGGTCTCCTCAACCTCTGTGGCGACTGGTTGTGGCGAGCGAAGGCTCATGGGAATGAACGCAGGTGCCTGGTTCTCCTCCTCTGGGATTGTGGGATTGTGGGTGTCCTCCTCGGCCTGCGCCTCCTCTCTCCATGCTCCTTCTTCCTCATCTTCATCTTCAGACTGGGACGCCCTGAGGGTGACCAGCTTGGATTTCCTAGCCGCTGATTGGCCCTTCCTACCTGGCAGGGCGGGGCCAGGTTTGATTTTGGCCCTCCTGGTTGCTGGTTTGGATTTGGGCTTGGTGGAGGAAGAAGTGGAGGGGCATCTGTCTGAGGCAGGAGTGGGGGCAGAGTCTGAGGGCGAGTCCCCATCCTCCTTTGCAGGGTATTTCAGCAGCTGTCTCTTTTGGGGTATTCTGCCATACCTGAAATACATAAACACAGCTAGTTTTACTGCCATCTGTGGCTGTGACACTCTTCAGTTCTTTAGGGTCAGTATGCGTGTGTGTACCTGGTGGGTTTGATGGGTTTATCGTTGGCTTCTTCCTCCTCTCCCTCAGATGAAGAGAGTTTGCCAGCTTTCTTCTCCTCCTTTTGACTGACTAAAGGCGACGCATCTTTATCAACCTGAAAGTAAGTTATGGTAGAGGTTGGACCACACAGGCACTCAACTACTTTTCAGCTATTGAGGTTCAGACAACAATCTTAAGAGTTTACAGAATGTTACAAACATTTAAGATTAATAAGAAAAATAAAGTCACATTTCTCTGTGATTGGTGTACATAATATGACCAGAAAGTTTTTTTTGTCCATGATGATGTTGGAGTGAATATAAGCTCTATTTGCGCTCTTAAATGGGGTTTTCCTCACAGGACAAAGACCTACCTGTTCTTTAGACAGCCCTTCCTCAGTGTTCTTCTCCTCTGCAGGTGTGGCCCCATCTTTAACGTTAGGCTTGGGGCCCCTCTGGCCCCACTTCTTACCCAGGTTAGGAAGAGGTCTCTGGGATCGGCCACGGGACAACTGGGCTGGTTTGATCACCACAGGTCCCTTGGCTCTTTCCACTGGCCCTTCTGCCTGCATTGAACTAATAAAAAAAATACATAATACAGAATAATTATTAACCCTACAATATGTAACTTTTTGGGCAACCTGACCAAATTCACATAGAAATGTGAGTTATAGATCTGTCATCCTCATTGAAAGCAAGTCTAAGAAGCGGTAGATCTGTTCTATGTACACTATTTCTATGCTTCCCGTGCTTAAGTTTCGTTTTTGCATCTTTTACTTTCGGTTTTGTACCCCAGCTTCAAACAGCTGAAAATACAATATTTTTGGTTATTGAAAATATATTTCACAGGGGTTTAGATGGCACAATGATTCTCTACGAAAACTGAAATTAGGCAAACTATTAGACTTTTAGCAAAATGGGAATGGCAGAGTGATTTCTGCATATTGCACCTTTAAAGGGACATTTCTAAAATGTTCAACTTCATAATCAACATCTCCAGCACCACCCCAACATCAACATTTGTGAAAATTGAGCATTTCTATGTTTTGTGGAAAAAAAGATAGAGGAAGATCATCGGTGTGCATCATGAGATTTTAACCCATTATGAGTAGGCATTGCCTACTAATTGGTTGAGGATGTCATTAGAAAGACTTATCTTCCTCTATCTTTTTCCCCACAAAACATAGAAACACGCTATTTTCATATACACTACATGACCAAAAGTATATGGACACCTGCTCGTCGAACATCTCATTCCAAAATCATAGGCATTAATATGGAGTTGGTCCCCCCTTTGCTGCTATAACAGCCTCCACTCTTCTGGGAAGGCTTTCCACTAGATGTTGGAACATTGCTGCGGGGACTTGCTTCCATTCATCCACAAGAGCATTAGTGAGGTCGGGCACTGATGTTGGGCGATTAGGCCTGACTCGCAGTCGGCGTTCCAATTCATCCCAAAGGTGTTCGATGGGGTTGAGGTCAGGGCTCTGTGCAGGCCAGTCAAGTTCTTCCACACCAATCTCCACAAAACCATTTCTGTATGGACCTCGCTTTGTGCACGGGGGCATTGTCACACTGAAACAGGAAAGGGCCTTCCCCCAAACGGTTGCCACAAAGTTGGAAGCACAGAATCATCTAGATTGTCATTGTATGCTGTAGCGTTAAGATTTCCCTTCACTGGAACTAAGGGGCCTAGCCCGAATCATGAAAAACAGCCCCAGACCATTATTCCTCCTCCACCAAACTTTATAGTTGGCTCTATGCATTGGGGCAGGTAGCGTTCTCATGGCATCCGCCAAACCCAGATTAGTCCGTCGGACTGCCAGATGGTGAAGCGTGATTCATCACTCCAGAGAACGTGTTTTCACTGCTCCAGAGTCCAATAGCAGCGAGATTTACACTACTCCAGCTGACGCTTGGCACTGCGCATGGTGATTTTAGGCTTGTGTGAGGCTGCTCGGCCATGGAAACCCATTTCATGAAGCTCCCGACGAACAGTTATTGTGCTGGCGTTGCTTCCAGAGGCAGTTTGGAACTCGGTAGAATGTTGCAACCAAGGACAGACGATTTTTACATGCTACGCACTTCAGCGGTCCTGTTCTGTGAACTTGTGTGGCCTACCACTTAGCGGCTGAGCCATTGTTCCTCCTAAACATTTCCACTTCACAATAACAGCACTTTTACAGTTGACCCGGGCAGCTCTAGCAGGGCAGAAATTTTACGAATTGACTTGTTGGAAAGGTGGCATCCTAAGGTGGCATCCTATGACGGTGCCACGTTGAAAGTCGCTGATTTCTTCGGTAATGCCATTCTACTGCCAATGTTTGTCTATGGAGATTGCATGGCTGTGTGCTCGATTTTATACACCTGTCAGCAACGGGTATGGCTGAAATAGCCGAATCCACAAATGTGAAAGGGTGTCCACATACTTTTGTATATATAGTGTATGTTGTATATATAGCGTGATGAATATGAAGTCTAAAAAATCTCAGCACTTAACACTTTTTCTCCTACTGTACAGAATAAAGTAGTTGACATTTACAAACTTACCTCTCAGGAGGCCCTGCCTCAGTGTCTTCAGGAACACCAGCCTCTTCTGAGGAAGCAGAGGAAACAACGTCTGTAAGATAGATCATCAGTTACTAGAGTTGGTATATTTTCATTTTGTTATATGGCTACTGTGAAAAGCACCACTGAAGTCATGGAAGTTCTACAGCACCTTGATCACTTGTTATTATGTTTCCCTTCTTTTTCTTTCCATCCTTTGCTTTTTCAGGGGAGGACTCTCCTCTATCCCTCCTTTTGCGTTTTCTCTTAGGGGTGGCAGCGGAGGCAAGTGTGGTCCCTTCGTTAGAGACGTTCTCGTTCTCCTTCTCTCCCTCCTCCACCTCCTCTGTTTCCATCTCCGCGTCTGACCCCTCCTCCTCCACGTCACTCAGCTGCTTCGCTGCTTTCTTTTCTGATGGACAGTGAGAGCAGAGATATTGAGACTCATGCAGAGAGCAAGGATGGCTAGTGAGTGAGGCTGAAGACATTACCACCTTTAAAATATGAATAATACTCAAGAAATCACATCACTTTTACCTGATGACATGGGTGACAGATGCCATATGAGATGCAACACATAGCTGTCAGTTAAAATCCACTCTGAGAAATTCAGGCATTGACTTTGTGGTGGAACTCCCTACATGACCAATAGGTAGTAGACAAGGAAATGTATCTTAGTAACCTTTCTGTTTGATATTTTTCTTGATCACTATCTTCTCTGTGGGGGACTTGTTCTTCTTGTTCCTCTTTGCCTCTGCAGCCAAGATCTTCTCCAGGAGGCTAGTGAAGAACTCCAGATCCAGCCTGCGTTTCTCCTCTATAGAACAGAGAAAAGACCAGGATGAATTGGATTCCTGAATCACGTCTATAATGACTGAGTATAGTAAGTTGCTAAAAAATAAATTTGTTTTTCAAACTTACTGAAGGCCTTGTCTATCCTCCAGCTGTTTGCTCTCTCCTCTTTCTTGAACTTGTTCTGAAGATTAAAAAACAGGAGACAAAATTACAAACCTGCAGTAACACAACCTAGTACAGTTGTACAGTGCTACAGCCCCGATCTACAGTATTTAAGGTTGGACGGTACCCAGATGTTCATATCGTGCTTCTCATCCTGGGTTTTACGGTATTACCGACTTAGTACACAAGGGGGTGCCAAAAAAAACACAAAAGAAAAGCCCATTGGGCATCCATTACCAGAATGCTAACAAAATGAGTACAAGTAATAGCAAATTTCCATGGTGGCTGCTAGCTAAATATGCTACCAAGCGAAAATAAAAATAAACAAATAATTTTGGTGAGTTTGGACATTTACAAACAATGTGAACGAGAGACATTGTGCAAATGAACAAAGTTTTGATACACACTTGTCTGAAGGAAGAACAGTATTGGCTCTGGAGCAGCATGTGTACACGTTGTGTCTGTGTTAAGTACCTTACTGTGATTGTTTTAAATTAAAAATGGTCAAAAGGGCAATTTCTCAAGCCAGAATTCTGCTAGGACTGTCTGGGAGTGGTCTGAGTGGGAAACTGAAAATGTGCTGTTATTGACAGATGTTTGGAACTCTCTTTCTTATTGGTGGTCTATTAACTAATTTACCGCATGGTGATATTACCATGGAAGGCCAAAACATCCTCCCACCAAAACAAGATTAACTTTCAGGCACCACCAAAACAAGATTAACTTTCAGGCAGTCTTTTCAAACATCACAGTATTATTCCAACCTCAGTATAGAAATATATATACAAATCTTTATTTATTTTTACTAACCTAGGCCTTTAAAATCCAGGTTATGCGACATGAACAACCAAAACATAGGGACTTACTTATGGGGCTAAATTAGTAATAAGACTATAATAGCTTACACAGGTAATTTAGAGACTATCAGTGATACCTTGATCTCGGTGCGACCGCGGTGAGGGAACAGCTGTCCAATCATAGAGAAGTCTGTTCCCACCATACTGATGGCCAGGAAGAACATGTCCGTCTCTGACGAAACAACACAAAAACGTTGTTTTAGTAGGACTTTTGGTTTCAATATGCAGAAACACAGGTAAACTAAGGTGTAACTGATGACTAAGTAAATATTAGATAGAGTAGAGTTCTATTGGACCCAAGTAGTGGTTGTCAGACACACCTTTGTTGGACCAGGGCTTGACATGTGTCCCCTTTCTGAAGCTGGAGTAGGTGGTTGTGGAGCCACGCTCAAAGATGGGGTCTCGATCATCAGCTGGGTTGGGCCCTTTCTGCCTCAAGACCTCCACCGTCAAACTGGGACACACACAGGGGGAAAAAGTTAAGTAACATGCAAACATACCAGGATTAGGGTGAAGTCCAATTCAGGAAGTCAATTCAGGAAGTAAACAAAAAATTGCTTTTCAATTAGGAAACTGAGAGACGTCCCTGACCTCTCCTCATCGATGATCAGAGAGCCATCTTCTGCCACCTTCACCCGCGGGACCATTACCCCATCGTCAGCCTCATCCTCATCTTCATCTTCATCTCTCTGGCTGGCTGTCTCAGCTGCGGCTTCCGGTGTTGGGGGTCTTTCAGGTGACCTGTGTAGGACAAAGATGATAATTTAAATTGGGTTAAATTGCACAGCCCACTTGGTTGCTCCATTGTGAGATGATCTTTCACACACTTTATTGCCTGCCTAATAGGTAATCTAATATAAGACATCTAATGTATTTTCTAGAAATGGAAAATAAACTTGAACATGATATGGTCTTACTCTTCTCTTGGTGGGGTGAGCGGGAGGACAGTCTCGTTCTCCCTCTGGTCCTCTACCAGATAGGACCTGGAAGGAACACGCAACACAGAAAAAGTACGGCTCAGAAAAACCTTTCAAATAGCACATAGATTTACACTGACTGTACAGAACTAATACACCCCCACACACACCCCCACTGAAGGTGTAACCTTACGTCATGGGGTTGCTATCAGGCAGGTAGTAGATGAGATCTCGCATGGTCATTTTAGAGGGATCTAGTGTGTATTCCTTCACACACACCTTGGCTTTGCTCCGTTTCTGCACATTCAAAACATCACACTGTTAAAATTCAGTGGTATGACAAGCATCTAAACAATGACAGTAAACACTGCTCTGCTGTCATCTAGCAGCTGCTCTTGGTGACAGCACCAACTTGTTGAACTGAAGAACCTCTGCTATCTAAACACAATCAGTGTGGGTGTTTGAGATACGCAATGAATTTGCAGTTCTTGGTATCTTCAGAAATTTCGACAGTGCCTGGAGAAGCGTTTAACCTATCAATTTGCAATAATAGTCCTACATTCTGTGCAGATTTTGTGTGTTATCAAACATGCATAATGTTGTTAGCTTCACAAGATTACATTATCCAGCCTTAAATAGATTGAACGGGATCTTAAGCACCTACAAATTCGTAACATTGTACGAATTGGAATGTGTAACACACAGTATCATACTAATTAATTTTTTTAAATAATAAAATAAGGACGTAACATATCAGACGAAATGGATGACGTTGAATACAATTGTGCACAATTTCCGGGAACCCATTTTGGCTCGTGAGCGCTACTTTCAAAATTACTGGCTGAAATTATACAAAACCTTTCTAGCATCACTTTAATCTTTCAACTAAAGATCACAAGTGAGACTAAAACCGATCTCACCTTCTCCTTGTTCATCTCCTGTCTCAACAACTCTCTGAGCTTCCGGGCCTTAGCCAGCCTCTGTAGGTCTGTTGGGTCATTCAGGAACCTGCTAAGCCTGGACTTCCCTGGTACCAGCCCGGTGAGTCCACCAGACACAGACCTGGCGAGTAGAGTCTTAGCTCTCTCTGATACTGAGATACCCTCTTTGTCTGGAAGGGAGGATGATGGGACCATCTCTGACGGAGTGGATGGAACTTTAATGCTTGGTGTTTTTTTCAGGAGCTCTGATTGGATGCCTCCTTTGTCTTGTTTGGGTACTTGTGAGAATGTTGCCTCTTTGCCTGCTGCCTGTGGGGTCTGTTGTGACGAGGATGAGTCCTCCACTGCCACCTTCCCCAGAGAGGTTGTTGTTGTCTCAGGGCCTGGGGAAGCTGAGGACAGGGGGCTGGGTTTGGGCTGTCCTTTGGCCTGCTTACTACCTCCAGAGGGCCTCCGCCTTGGGGATCTCATGCCCTGTGGGGGTCCAGAATCTGGCTGGCTGGGGGCCTCTGGAGCCTCAGGGGTTAGGGCTGGGGTCTCAGTGCCTGCTCTCACAGGGGACTTGGGGGTCCTGGGGGAGGAGCGGGTGAGGGCTGGGGTGGCTGCCACCCGGGGTTTGGCGAGGTTTGGCATGACAGAGAACCGCTTCCTCCTTTGAAGACCGGCAGAGGGGGTGCCGCTGGAAGCTTCGCCATTTGGGTCTTTTCCATCCCTATATCAAAAGACAAAAGGGTCAGAGACAATGCAGACAATCAAGCAATACGTGAGCAACACTGAACCACACAGTCAGAGGATGGTTGTTGGGGCAAAAACAGGTTTAAACCTAGTCTGATTAATCAGGCTGTAATTCACAATTAATTGGTATATACAGCCTGAAGCTAATGCCTGCAAAATCGTGTAAATGTTCCTTATGAGCCAGAATGTATAATAAAATTCAATTTAAACTTACTCTACAGGTGGTCTGTGCGGTTTGACTTTCAGCTGCTTGAAATTTGAGACAAATCTACACAGGAAACTATTGTTTACTGTGACAATAAATTATATATTCTGAATCAGGGGAGGATGAAAAACAATCCAGACATTTTTTTTGTGAATTTTTATTTTTGTATATATATACATACACACATATATCTATTAATTTTTTCTTCGTATTTCCACATTTTAAAAGAAAAAAAATACATTTAACGTGTGGATTGTTCTCCATCCTCTCCTGATTCAGAATACAACATTTTCATTGTCATGGCATGCTTGGTTCAACAGCTATTGACGAAATAAAAAAGAAGATCCAATATAAAACAAACTTTACCTCGGTGCCAAACCATATACCTACTGGCTCTCTAAAACGTCAGTTAAACAATACTTTCCTGTGGATATTTTGTCTCAAATTTTGAGCAAATGAAGGACAAACCGCACAGACAACCGGTATGGTAAGTTTATATGTAATTTTATTAACATTTACACAATTTTGCAGGCATTAGCATCAGGTTGCATATACAAATTAATTGTGTATTACAACCTAATTAATCAGACTAGTTTAAACCATGTGTAAGAGCCATGTTATCTTGAGTAGTTCTCAATTCTACAACAAAAATTGAAAACCTATGAGAGATTATAAACCTTCAGAACCATCTCTGACAGCCGCACCTTGGCATTGACACATTTAGCTGTAAAAGGGACTATAATACATTTGATTCAATTATTGATTGATTGTCACTCACTCTCTGGGTGTGGTGGACTCTGTGGAGGCTTCTGGCGCTGCAGTTGTGGTGGTGTCCTTCACGCACTGGCCCCCTGCCTGGGGAGGGTCCTCGGAGCCTGCAGCTGGAGCCTCCTGGGAAGGTGGAGGAGTGTCCTGGGAGGAGGCTGGAGCTGGGCCTCTGCCTGCTGGCCTGACGTTGGGCCGAACACTGATCCTGGATCTGCGAAGCATTTTGTCCTACTACAGAGAGAAGCTGTGACACAGATGATGACATTAGCCATAAGAAACACATCAGAGCTCAGGGTTGCTAGCAAGCGAACTTCTATTACCTATATGGCAAATGATCATTAATGGCTTGTGTCTAAGCTAGTTAGCTACTAAACGCTCAGCTGCCAAATGTCACTCACTGGCTCACTTATCTCAGACATAACTCAGTTAGCTAGCTAACGTCAGCTACGTGTCAGTCACATACCACAGCTGGCTAGCACGTGTAAGTTAGCTAGGGAAATACATACACCAGAAAACGTGAAGTGAGATACAGTGAACTGATATTGTAATTACTTTATCTTGTTAGCTAGCATGTCTTATATAGTAGTAACGGCGATTGAGCATTATTAGCGTGCTAAAAGTTGTAAACCTGCTAGCTAGCAGTCCTGTTTTCTTTCGACGCCTAGGAAAGTAATGTAGCAATGTAATAATAACTTCCTCTTCTCCAAATACGTATCGTGATCAATAAAAATACAAACCTCATGATTAAATGATCATTTTTCCGACATATATTCTATGCTGTCGACGTTTTAATCCAAGTTTAGCACCATGCACACACACTAGACCACCATGATGTTTTCGATTACGTCAAATGTCATTCCTGAAAGGGATTGTGGGAATAGTAGTTTGAGCGATAGAAAGGCCAAAAGTTGTGTTAGAACAGGAGCTCGTGTTCATGTATTTTTACATGATGAAATTAGTAAAGTACGTACAAAATTGCAATTGAAAGTGACAGGTCCACAATATTATTTGAACTTATACTAAGCTAGCTGTACTTTATTTAGAACATGATTGTAAAGTAGGTTTATCAAAAACATAAGTCATATCATAGGTCTGGAACCTTGAGTCAAATTCACCCTCTTTAATTCTTAATTTCTTTATCAGGGGCACTGAACTCAAACACAAAAGTACAAATGTGATTTTTAACACATTAATATGTATTAAAAAGTTTACTAATTTCAGTGATTCTGGCAAATAATACAAATGAGTCGCATAACCCCGTTGTTGATCAAAGCGCAATTAGCTTGGGATTGTCTTGAACAACATTTAACCAGGTGCTTTACAGTCTGCACTCATTAGGTGAATCAATAGCAAAGTATATATAGGCTGATTTGGATAAAGGCAAGTAAGAATATATTAGGAACAAAATTTGCAGATGAATGAATGAATGAATGAATGAATTCAGCCTTTTCCCCAGTTTCAGATTTTCTGAAGATCCGAGTCTACTTCACTTATGCAACTCAGTAACTGTTGCTAAATGTTATTTCATAGGTGGAATGAAACATTGCACCACATGCAAGTACATTTCTATGAACACTTGTGAGTGGTCTATACTAAAACAGGGTAACATTCATAAGGTGAGTAGTCTAGGGATGCAGTAATAACCCCCTTCCTAAACCTTAACAATATTTCCCTGAAAGGAATAATAAATATCTAAAACACGACAAAGACGCCCAAAAGACCACACTGAAATACATTTTTTTCTGTGTTTAATATAGACAGTATCGAGTATTTCCAGGGCCTTCCCTTCCATCCATCCCATGTTCATCCCTATTTCCAGGGCCTTCCCTTCCATCCATCCATCCATCCCATGTTCATCCCTTCTTAAGAGAATAATTTCATTACAATACATTTCATTCAGTGGCACTGAAAAGCTAAGTGAGTTGGGAACAGAAACAAAAACTACTACTACTGATTGGGCAAGACATACATTAAAGTCCTCCAGCTCATTCATCAACTGATTTACTTAAGGCACATCTCAATAGGTGGTACAGGTGTCCTCTGACATGGCACGGTGGGGGTGGGGGGGCTAAGTAACTGACAAAGAAAGGCAGGTAAGGAGTTAATACGTGTGCATTGGGGCAGGGGCTAAAAGATGTAATCATGTAGATTGTCTGGCGCGTGTTGTAGTTGTAGCAGCTGGATCTGAAGATATTATTTGGTCGTAGAGCTTTGCTGCTTATTCTCTGGAACTGATGGGCAGGATGTCACTTAGGCAAAGGGGTTTCCAAAGGGGTCTCCGAAGGGATCCGAGCCACCAGTGGTCTGGGCAACAGGAGTGTTCTGTCGTAAAGAGGGAAAATATTAAGGTTTTATAATGATACAAAGCAGTATGTTACCATCAATTGATTGGAGTTTGATAGGATTCATTACAGTATAAGTCTGTTTGTGTGTGTGTGTTGTGTGTTGTGTGTGTGTGTGTGTACATCCATACCATTGCTAGAAGTGGTGCTCCAAAGGCATTAGGAGTTGCAGTGCCAAATGTGTCATCAAATAGGCTCTGGTTGAGACCTGTTGCTGCTGCTGGAGCCAGGCCTGGGGCTGGAGTTGGGGCAAAGGCATCCAGGAGCCCTGGACCGGGGGCCGCTGCAGGAGACATGATGGGAGCAGCTTGCTGTGGGGCCGATTTGGGTGGGTCTAAAGACAGACAGGAAAGAAAGGGGAGAATCAGAGGGATTCAAATAATACATTTGACAGATACACTACCAGTCAAAAGTTTGGACACACCTACTCATTCAAGGGTTTTTCTTTCTTTTTACTATTTTCTACATTGTAGAATAATAGTGAAGACATAAAAACTATGAAATAACACATATGGAATCATGTAGTAACCAAAAAAGTTAAACAAATCAAAATATACTTTAAATTTGAGATTCTTCAAAGTAGCCACCCTTTGCCTTGATGACAGCTTTGCACACGCTTGGCATTCTCTCAACCAGCTTCACCTGGAATGCTTTTCCAACAGTCTTGAAGGAGTTCCCACATATGCTGAGCACTTGTTGGCTGCTTTTCCTTCACTCTGCGGTCCAACTCATCCCAAACCATCTCAATTGGGTTGAGGTCGGGTGATTGTGGAGGCCAGGTCATCTGATGCAGCACTCCATCACTCTCCTTCTTGGTAAAATAGCCCTTACACAGCCTGGAGGTGTGTTTTGGGTCATTGTCCTGTTGAAAAACAAATGATAGTCCCACTAAGCGCAAACCAGATGGGATGGCGTATCACTGCAGAATGCTGTGGTAGCCATGCTGGTTAAGTGTGCCTTGAATTCTAAATAAATCAATGACAATGTCACCAGCAAAGCACCCCCACACCTCCTCCATGCTTCATGGTGAAAACACACATGCGGAGATCATCCGTTCACCTACTCTGCGTCTCACAAAGACACGGCAGTTGGAACCAAAAATCTCAAATTTGGACTCATCAGACCAAAGGACAGATTTCTACCGGTCTAATGTCCATTGCTCATGTTTCTTGGCCCAAGCAAGTATCTTCTTCTTATTGGTGTCCTTTAGTAGTGGTTTCTTTGCAGCAATTCGACCATGAAGGCCTGATTCACACAGTCTCCTCTGAACAGTTGATGTTGAGATGTGTCTGTTACTTGAACTCTGAAGTATTTATTTGGATTGCAATCTGAGGTGCAGTTAACTCTAATGAACTTATCCTCTGCAGCAGAGGTAACTCTGGGTCTTCCATTCCTGCGGCGGTCCTCATGAGAGCCAGTTTCATCATAGCGCTTGATGGTTTTTGCGACTGTACTTGAAGAAACGTTCAAAGTTCTTGAAATATTCCGGATTGACTGACCATGTCTTAAAGTAATGATGGACTGTCGTTTCTCTTTGCTTATTTGAGCTGTTCTGGCCATAATATGGACTTGGTCTTTTACCAAATAGGGCTCTCTTCTGTATACCCCCCTACCTTGACACAACAACTGATTGGCTCAAACGCATTAAGAAGGAAAGAAATTCCACAAATTAACATGGCACACCTGTTAATTGAAATGCATTCCAGGTGACTACCTCATGAAGCTGGTTGAGAGAATGCCAAGAGTGTGCAAAGCTGTCATCAAGGCAAAGGGTGGCTACTTTGAAGAATCTCAAATATAAAATCTGATTCCATATGTGTTATTTCATAGTTTTGATGTCTTCAGTATTATTATACAAATGTAGAAAATAGTAAAAATAAAGACAAACCCTGGAATGAGTAGGTATGTCCAAACTTTTGACTGGTACTGTACATCAAAACATCTTGTAACCCAAGCCATAGAATTCACTGTGCTACCGTCCGGCAAACGGTACCGGACCAACAGGCTCCGAGACAGCTTCTACCTCCAAGCCATAAGACTGCTAAATAGTTAATTAAATGGTTACCCGGACTATCTGCACTGCCCCAACTTGCACAGACTATGCACACTCACAAGACTATATATACACACACACACACACACACACACACACTTTTACACTCATCATTTGCTGCTGCTACTCGTTCTTTTTTTAACTATTATTATTATTATTATTATCATCATCATCATCTAACCTGATGCCTAGTCACTTTACCTTGTCTTCATGTACATATCTACCTCAAATATCTTGTACCCCTGCACATTGATCTGGGACTGGTACTCCCTTTATATAGCTCAATTTTTGTGCATTTTATTCCTTGTGTTATCATTTTATTATTATTTTTTTTTTTTTTTACTCTGCATCGTTGGGAAGGGCTCCTAAGCAAGTATTACACAGTAAGGTCTACACCTGTTGTATTCGGCGCATGTGACAAATACATTTTTTATTTAACTTAGACTTGATATTTGCTGGGGCTATATGATAAAATCAGTATTGCGGTAAACTCCAAATCTATAGATAGGAATTTGAAATTGCAAATAACCGCCATTACCATTGGCAACCGCTGACATTTGACTTTGAATTTCAAAGTCGTCGTGATCCGCAACCTCCTGGAGCATGCCCACTTTGCTGGAGAAGTACTGGGCAAATGCTCCATCCCCATTAGTGCTGGGGGCGGCCCCAGGTGTCTGCTCCCCCTTCCTGGCCGGGATGGCTGGAGGCTTGGCAATCTGGAAGTCCTTGAACATGTCCTTCCCACTCTTCTTCTCCTTCTCCCCTCCCAGGGGGTCCAGAGCCGTGAAGGCACTCGGTTCCACCTTAGCTGTAGCCTCCTTGACTGGCGGCCGGGGTGGGGGCCGAGGTGGACCTTGTGGCATACCCTGTGGAGGGCCTCCCATCATGGCAAAGGGGCCGGGTTGGAAGGGGTTAGCCATGGGAGGCTGGCCCCAGCCAGGTGCAACCATGGGCCCTGCAGGAGCAGGCTGTCCCCAAGCCTGGGTGACCGGCTGGGCCCCATACGTGGATGGAGCCTGCTGGCCCCAGGGGGCCGGGGGTATGGGCAGGGCACCGAAGGCGGATGGCTGGGGGAAGGTGGTCTGGAGGTTGGGGAGTGTTACCCCTCCTGGCATTGTGAACATCGAAGGGCCTGGTGCTGGGACTCCCCACGGTGGTGGGGCTGTCCCATGAATGGTGACTGAAGGGGGACCCAACTGCAATGCTCCTGGAGGACAGAGGAAGAACAGGGGAGAGAGAGGAGGGTGATGAGAAGGTGACCTTTTCCATTTAGGTTTGGGTACAGTAAATAGACTGAAATGAACTTAGACACCATCTAGATTGCCTCAAGCTCAGCATAGCTAAAGCATGATAATAAAAAGCACTGATTTGCGCCAATGCCGATTTAAACTAGTCGATTGTTTTGCTTTAACACAACATGGGTTCTCACTATTTGGAGCCAATGAGGCCATTAGTCTTACCCAGAGCTGTTATGGGGGAGGTGGTGGTCGGACTGTTGAAGAGGTCATCGGAGGCAGATGAGCAGTCAGGCTGACTGGGAGCAGCAAATGGGTCGGCCCCAAACAGGTCATTGGCAGGAGGAGACTGGTGGTCAAACCGCAAATTAGGCGACCAAATTTACTACAGGGATATTGAACAATTTACTATTCATTGAGGGCCAGTAAACAAGGGAAAACTGTGGTAAGCACTGAATTAATGACAAGGTTTATATGGATGATAATGCATTATGGAAAAACTAAATGATCATACTTATATACTGTATTCACATTAATATGACACCCTTATTTTAAAATAACCTGTATTTATACAGGTTTTTCTCATTGAGATAAAAATCTATTTTTTCAAGAGAGACCTGAAGAAGAGAAACGTACATTTCTAATAATACTTAAAAAGACACAAATACCAACACTTACCTCCACACCTCACTGAAGCATGAATGTTAAGACAAGGAACATATAAATAGATAGCAACAGGAGATAAACAGTGTTTACGGTCGAGTAGAGGTTGTTAATCTCCTAGGACAAGCAGGTTAGAGAAGCCATGTGAGCACCACTACATGCAATTATGTTAGAAAACCATACCAGTTCCATCCCAGAGAAAAAAAAACACACCAACCCTAATATCCTTGTACCAAAACCATGTTGGTAGAGACAAAACCCAGTGCAATGCTGGCCTGTAGGAATAGAATATGCCAGTATGGTATCCCAGTGCTGTGAAAGGGGGTTGTTGTTAGAAAACCAATTATGGTTTGGGGAGGAGGTGTGCAGACAGACTCATTCTCAGACATGCAGCAACATCATAGGACCTCTATGGAGCTTCACCTTGGCACTCCTCCGACCTCGTCCAGCCTTAGTGTTCTGTGGAGGGGGGCTTAACACAACCGAACTGTCCTTGCTAGGACCCACAGCGGCAGTGGGTTGTGGATCAAACATCACACCGTTACAAAGGAGTGGGCTTTTCCCAGAAATGTCCAGAAAGGGGTTCTGTGGTGAGGGCACAGGTCCCAAACCGTTCTGGACAGGAACGGGGACCCTGCTCTCTTCTGTCATCCCTCCCCCTAGTGGCCACTGGCCGTTACTGAGAGCCAGGATCATGTTCTTATTGGACAACCCGTTCAACTGCTGACCGAAGTTGTCAGAGTCTCCGTTAAGACCAACACCGTTCCTGATTGGCCTACCCAAGAAGTGAACAGAGCTTTCTTGGTTGTGATTGGTGGAGGGGGCTGAGATCAGAGAATGGGGGGGTGCTAATTGGGCGAGGGGGTCATTGCTGAAAGGGTCAGTGTCTGGGGTTGGAAAGAAGCCAAACGTGGAGGAGAAGGGGTTCTCTGTTCGGGGGGTGCCCCAAGGGTTAGGTGTACCGGAAGTGAAGGGATTTCCCTTTATACAGTTCTGATTGCTGTCAACCTCGGCGGACAGATCCAGCAATAGAATATCATTAGTCTCCTGGTTATCAAGGGAGGGAACGAGAGGGAGAGAGAAAAAATAAAAATCTGTTGCGCTGAAAGAGAGAAGCAACTGTTAACACAGCTAAATTAATAACAATGACATGAGAAGACAGTTTATGATTGATGAAGCAACAGTGGTGATAGATAAATAAACATTTAAACAGGAATCAGAAACTCAACTGTAAAAATGTGCTTTGTCAAGGCACCAGCCTTTGTGTCAGGAATTACAACCATTATTCGGAATGTGCTGACATTTAAGATATATCCAGGATTTGACCTTTGTAATCCATCAAAACTACTTCAAGTTAATAAACATACACTTATTACAGACAGACCTTTACAGAGTTGAGTTTGAGAGCCCTGTATGACATATGGGATGATGTGATTGGTGGAAGGGGTGAAGTTATGCAGATAAGCTATGTTTTGGGGCGAGAGACTGGGATACATCCACAATGCAGAATAATACAAACTTCTATGGCAAAGTGCAAGACTGAGCTAGCTAGAACCTGAGAGGAACTTTACCAGAGCTCGAGTTGTCAAAGCCACCTGATTATAAAATTGGGGAAAATATCCTTGTTAGGAACAGGAAAGGGGGCGAAAAGCCTCCAATCTTCAAAATAAAATAGCAGCAAGGTAATTTGTCATTGTCTATTCTGTCCAAAAACGTTTATGGCAGAAGATAAGCATGGTATATAACATAATTGCCAACAATTGGCCCTATCCATTTGTAAAGTCTGAGTTATGAGCATTTCCCCAGCTCTAGCACTTAGGCCTTTGCACCTTATGAGTATATTACTAGAAACTAAGAAGAGCCTTTATGAATGTGTGCACATCTAGTGAACCCAACAACAGCAGGCTGACTTACTGTAGGAGAGTGGATGTCTGGAGGGGTGGACATGTCTCCAAACAAATTCAGCTGTTGCACCTCCTGAACAAAAACATATATCCATTATCAGCATCTTAAAGATACATCCAGTATCATAAAATGAGAGATTCAACAACACCACAGAACATCTACTAGTAGACGCGTGTGCCTGGGGAATCCTCTTTTGCATCCACTTTGCAGTCTTTTACATGTATGATTCTACGATCTTAAACACTTACTTTGGCAGTGCCTGCCTGGCCATCGATACTGAGCAAGGCATCACCACCATTCTGTAAATGAAACACAGCAATAAGAGGTCAAGTATGCACTACACGTACATCTCAGATAAAGGTTATATTATCCAACATACACAGGCACTTACCTCAGCTACTGCATTATTACTCTCACCCTGAAAAGATAGAGAAAGAGGAAAAACAAGGTGAATATTCCCATTGGAGGAATGTAATATGTTCTCTATTTACTTATTGGATGAGATGTGTGTGCCATAATGAGTCATCTCATTGGTATTGCAATGAAAGCATGGTTAATGGTGCAGGACTGTAATAAAGCACTAGGGGGCAGTGTTGACCTCATAACTTCAGTCACATGACCTCCGTCCAGTCAGCAACCCCAAAATGTTACTTCCCAAAAAACATTTTAAAAACTAACAAAAAAAAGGGTCATGTTCAGTAGGGAGAAAAATGTTTGGAAACAGATTTAAAACAGGGCTGTACTACCAGAACATAGATTTTAGTTTTCTGTTGCAAAGTGTTTTGCTACGGTATGCCCTACTGAACACAACTCTGATCACAAACCCCACCATAGTTATTTACCTTCTGTGAGGCCTCTGACTTCTTCTTCATGTTGAAGATGACCTGGAATAGATCCTTAAGGTCAATGACCAGGGGCTCTGCCTATATGGAGAGGAGATTCATGGAAAAACAGTCAATAGACAATCAACTACTTGCAACAATCTGCGTGTGTGTGTCCGAGCGTCTTACCTGCTGGCCAGTCTTTATGGCGAAGAACTGGTGCTGTCCCTCGGCCCCACACACGTAGCCGAAGGCCCTGTTATCCGTTACATCTCTGGCGATGAATGAGATCTTGTTCACTATGTGCTCGTGTTCTATCACCTGAGAGGAAGAGAGAGCTTTTAAAACAGTTTAGTCTTTGTGAGTCTTCAATTGCCTAATAATATAAACACTTGCAATTAGGCCTACATGGAATCTACTCGACTGAGGTCATGTCCTGTGTTTACCTTGTGAAAATTATCTCCCTCTACAATTCCTATAATAGAGAATTTTATTTGTAAAGATTGGTACTAAGGTTGATACTGCCCAGCCACTGAGACAGGATTTAGAAAGAGGAACAGAGGGATGAACTGTGGATTAGAAAGTCATAGAACAGTTGTCCTCACCCCTGTTTTCTCATCAATGATCTTGATGCCTGACATGGATATGTTGACCCAGATCCTTTGCTTGTGTTTGCCCTGGGACCGAGAAGCTACTGCCATGCCCTGCACAACAACACAACAGTTACATAACAAACACCACATAACAATGACATACTAACGCACACAGCCCACCACCATATGCACACCCAAAGAGAAATGACCATAGAAAACCGACTAACAAAATCACATTCAATTTGCTCTTTACTAACACTACTGCGTGGATATAGAGCCGTAGCAGCAAGTGTACTGTAGTGTCTGCATCATGATATGGTGGTACCTTGAGTTTCATCATCGAGTCCTGGCTCATCTTGTCCCCTCGGGCCTCTGGGACATCATCAATGCCGATCAGCTTGGCCTTGTACCTCACACCATCACCCTGGAACCTGGACAGCAGGTACTCATCAGTCTTCTCTGGAGCTGGGCAGAGGGAAGAGAGAAGGAGAGAAAAGTGATTGATTGGATCGATTGTCACTTTCTGTCCGGTTGAGAATGCCCTCTTTAATTCGTCTATATCTAATTCGTAGCCTCAACCATCACACCACAAGACGCATGGAAATCAAGATGTAAAACTATACTATAAGGTCAAGTCTGATGACTCAGAAAAAGTCTGTTCAGCCCATAACACCAAATCCCTCATGTGGGGAAAGATGGAGGCCCCTTGCATATTGCATACAGTACCTTTCTTCTTCTCTTTCTTAAAGGGGGTCTTGGCTGGTGCGGTGGAGGGTGTGGTGGGAGGGCTGGTTGTAGAAGATGTGGTGGGGGCGGGGGTGCTGGAGGGGTCGGCCGGGACTACGGGTGCACTGCTCTCCACTTCAGTAGACATGGTGGGGTGGGGGGCCAGCCTTACGGGAGTCGGGACAGGCAGACAGGACAGGTAAACTAAATCAGACGGCAGCTCCTTGTTCAGGCCAGGGGGTCGACTCAGCAAAGAGGCTCAGCACTCACACATGCTCAGTTATGTGCCTGTAGGAGGGAGGGAGGGGGAGATGGAGTGTGTGAGAGAAATATAACGCAACTACACTCCCATGTTAAATTAACTGTCCAGTGAAAATGTAATTTTTAGAAAGTTAATATTCTGTTAACTCGTACCAAAATAATGTTGTTGATTCGCCTTATATAAAAGAATATATACTACTCGCATGAATATTTTTAATGGCTGGCATACGGCCACACCATTCCAACACAGAAAAGCTTATTTTTAACATACTTAAAGCTGCAATATGTAACTTTTTGGGTGACCAAATTCACATAGAAATGTGTGTTATAGATCTGTCATTCTCATTGAACGCTCGCAATTAGAATTTTTGCAACCAGGAAATGGCAGGGTGATTTCTCCATAGTGCATCTAACATTACAATTTTTTTTGGAAAGAGTATTTCACTCATATTGTTATTAATTATAGGTCATAGTTCATTGAAATCAGGAAACACTGGACAGTTACTTTAAGCTTTTTTGGTGATAAAAGCAGAATGATAACAGAACAAAGACATTACAGCTCTAAACATTTTAAAGAGGAACAGCTTCCGCTACCTGAAATTGTCCCCTAAAGGTTTTGTGAGCATCGTAAAAAGTAATATCCCTTTAAATGATCCACAATGAGGAGCCATGACCCCAGTACCTTGTTCCTACTAACCACACACAACAAACACACAGCATTTTGATCCATGTTGTAGCCTTGCTGTGACCCGTTGATAGCCATGTATGTAGTGGGAGGTGATGAAACTGCAATTAAACTCAGTGGGGTCTTTAAGACTGAATGGGTGTGAGAGAGGAACACCTGGAGGGCATCACAAACAGCTGCGCAACTGGCCAGGGACACACACTTCCTCTTTCGAACAGTGTGTCCTGTCAGTCATGGGATTCACATACTCACAGAGGCCCTGTCCAGTCCAACTCTAGGCCGTCATAAAGACCATAGGGTGAGAGGCTGGGCGTTCAAATTAAAGCTGTTCCACGGGGCCTACTTCAGGAAAATATGCCAGAGTATAATCCATTGTGATTAACATTGCTCCTCTCTCAGTCAAGTGAAGACTAAGGAGGCAGAGCGAGCCATGGAAAACCCAGATATTATGTTAATGTAACACTCAGCCATTCTGGTTTTAGAGAACCTAGCGACAGCTTCTTAGGAACTCACAATCAGCTGGGGCCACCCTACCTGAGGCTGACAGCTGGGTACCACCACACTGTCCATCTGTGGGCAACTTGGTCCTCTGGTTATGGTAGGAGACAAATTTGCTACTAACAACTCTAGCCACGAATTTAACCACAGTTCATTATGATTAACACCATCACAGCTGTAATTAGGCCCTTCAAGACAAACAAAGACAGAAACAGAGCACAGACATAGAGTAGCCTACAGTAAAATAGAAAGTCAGTGGCCGGCCAGTAGTGTAAACTGCAAGAGGAGACTTGACTACCAACAGACAGAGAGCTCTGGAACCATCAACAACACTCACAGCTGGACTAGGGAACAAAATGGCTTCTTTCTGGGACAGAGAGAGAGATAAACACTACAACAGTACAGTATAACAACCACCACAGGTTGATTTCAGCAGCTAAACATTTATTTTCCATATGACACATACCTTCAAGGGCACTTGCAGATGCTGCGTAGATCGCCTCGCTACTGAAAAGGAGCCTTGACTGACTCAGGCAGAGGAGAGCAAAGGTTGGGAGCGACCAAAGTTTGAGCTATTAAATGAAGTTAATCTTACGCTACCTGGTTGGTGTTTAAAGCTGGCCATACGCTCCAGTAATCTCATAACATGACAGTACAGCAATCCACCCTCAGCAACTGTAGTGCAACCCTATAAAACCTTACTTAAGAGGTGAGAAACAATGTATGTATAGTAACATCCAAGAATGTGACTGAGGCAGGATCGAGAACATAGGCCTGCTAAACTCAATTTATTTATACAAAAGTCAGTGTAACTCAGGAATAGGGAGACATACAAGGCCAAGAACCAATGTTCCCTCAAAAACATTTAGGCACTGAGCAAACTTCAGGTCTGCTGAGCGCAAACTTGAATGTTGTGAACATTCTGTGCAACTTCCAGAGCGCGTTTCCTGTGAACACTGAGGCTGTACCCGCTTTAAGTTACAGTTTTAACAGTGACCAAGTAGGCTACAGTGGCTATTTGATCATAATGTAGGCCTACCAGAGTGGCCTACCATCAAAAACAATGGAGAAACATTTTTATATGGAAATAGCAGTTCTATCATTCAGCCTACAGTAGCAGCCAAGGTGTGGTGTTCAATGTAGGCCTACATTCCATGAGACTTTTTTAAAAAAACATGCAGGGCTTGACATTAACCTGTTTATCCACTTGTCCATCAGACAAGGTGACTGAAAATGTTGTGTTGTTTGATGCAAGAAACCACTTTACAAAATAAAATGCATTATTATTCCCATACCATTATTACAGAGAATCAGACAAATTATGCTACCCTCTACCTATTGGCTACTTAGCTTATTCAAGCCTGTCTCAAAATACAACACTACCCCTTTAAGACAAAAAAAGCTCTTCACCTGACTTGCTTTTCAAAGAGGTCTAGAAATGTACACATTTTGTGCTCTCGTAGGAAGCAATCACTCCCCTATTGATGACTACAAATGATCTATAACTCACTAACAAAGGATATGAACAAAATGTGCACACGTCCTACATGCAGCTCTCGCTTTGATCTCAAAACAAGCGCACCTACTCACGACCACATCTGTACACATAGTCTAGTTCAAAGTAAATGGCACAGATCCATATATGGCAATGGTCGATTTGCATATAGCCTTACTGCAGCTCTTATTGGTTGAGCAAGGCACTTAGCCCTAATTGCTCCTGTAAGTCACTCTGGATAAGAGCATCTGCTAAATGACTAAAATGTAAATGTTATGCCGCACAGGTCTGTGTAGAGTACGGGCTGAGTAGTGCGTGTCAATGCAATAGTATCCTACTCTGATGCGTTGATAGTGTTAACTAACAGGGAAAACTCGAGAAAGTTGAGTGAAGTTCAATCATGTGCTTCTCTCAGTGGGCTGATATTTCTTCTGCGCGGCAGTCTTGGGGCTACTGCTCGCCTGCTTACTCGCGGAGCTTAGAGGGATCATTGCTAAGAACCTCCTGTATGACACAGCGCAAGTTGGCTTCCCTCCCCTCTACATAGAGGCCTCTTGTAGTCCTCTCTCTCAGTGTCAGTCTGGGGGGTTACTCATAAAAACAACAGTCCATTTCCTGAAAACAAGTACAAAGCTGACAGTCCAGAGGCTCTTGTAAAACCCAAAGCACAGTGACTGCTGAAGAGTAGTTAACATTAACTTGACTCTCTTCAGGTAAAGTCCAGCTCTGCCTAATGCCCCTCTGATGACTGGTAAACACGTTAACATTAAAACTACAGTGAGAGACTGGGAGCTGTTTAAACGATAGTCAAGGCAGCTCCTTTAATACCCTGTGCCAACCTGAACCGCACTGGCTTGAATATTTTATTTTCACATTGTCCTGTTCAGCAGTGTTCCAGCCACTATGGTGGATGCATAACCAAGCCAGTCCAGTACACGTTGCTTTGGCTAGACTCAGTTTGGCTCAGTAGGGTGAAAAGCCTTAGATAAAATGATTATCTAATGACTGTCCTCAGTCCCAGTTGTCCTCAAGCTGTTGAAAGTGATTAGTGACGTTATAGAATATGGACTAGTCCAGAGGGGAAACAGTGTCAGGAACATGGTAAGATACGAAATAAGCTCTTGGGGACATTTAGTGCATCAGGGCTGTATGCCAATATCGCCTCTAACCATCTATTCAGTGATATAATAACACTTACAAACTTCCACTCGAGAAGACTCTTCTAAACCAAACCAATTTGAGTATGTGAAAGTCAGATGACATGCTTTGCAGAGCTACGGTGGCAGAAATGTTGAAGTATCTAAGATCTTCATGCAGCTCAAGTTTATCTGCACACACACACACACACACACACACACACACGAAACCACAGCCAAATCTTGCATTGCCAGCCATCATTTGTATTATATGGCTTGCATCACAAGAGCGACAGCACTAAGACAATAAAATGTTCATGTCTTTCTGTTTCTGCTATGAGAGCAGTTTTTTTTTTACACACCAAAGTGCGTTCAAGGTCTACAGCAATGACCAGAAGAGTTTTCCGGTCATCATATGATAGCTGGAGCAGTCGGTGACAGGGTTTGATTGCATCCCCGCTTTAAGACGTACGTAATCTTTGGTCATATCAGTCACTGGGTGTAAACGTACTCTTTACATGCATGTTTATCAGGGCCTCTATCACAGAGGAAACAATTAGTTCCTAATATCCGATAACACGAAGCAGTAAGGGATTCCTTTCCAAACCAAATTACTGACTAGAATACCAATCAGATCCCAGATAGCACCATGTGACTGATTGTGATCTGTGGATCACACCACAGTGTGTGTGTGTCAAGTCAAAGAATCCCCAGTAATGGGCGAGAAGAGGGTTATTGCGATACTGTCAGCCAGGGTTAAAAGGCTGAAATACCTTTGGGGTGGTGGTTACGTTAGGCACATGATGCTAGCTGTTCAGTAACTACCATGGAGTGACAGTCCCAGTGACTTTGCCTTAATAAAAGGCTGTGTCAGCGACTATACAAAAAGCTAATAAAAACAACTTCTCAATGTCAGCATGACTAACTAACCTGACAGTTACTGAATGGACTGCCCCCTATCTAAGAACAGACAAAACCCATTGGCATTTCCTGAGCGGATACTCAATTACACAGCTTTAAAAAGGTGAGAGAAGGACCAGCCGGCAGCATTACAAATAGCCATTAGGCATTTTAAACCTGCCAGGGGACCAACTTTCCAAACACTGGATGCTTAAGCTACATCAAGAACATCTGCCATCTTTTGCATTCTTCAGGCATCTTCAACTAGTTAGGCTGAACCCATACACACAATTCTTTTTTTAAAGAAAATATTTACACTAAGTCAGCAGAATGGCTGCAAAGAGATAGAGACGTCCCAATCCTGGGCGTTGTGTTGCTTCATTAGAAGGAAAAGTGACGTTCTATTCAGCACATCTGGAGGAGATCAGGGCATGGATCAGACAGACTTAATAGGATGGTGAAATACCACAACTGCAGCCTAGACCCACTGTGGATACAGACAGTGGCCTAGCCTACAAACAAAGACTACATTCCGACATTACCAGACAACTGTCTACTAGGGATACTAACAAATGCTGGAAGTATATGATTAATGATCTATTGCATTTCATATACACGCAAAGATCCAGTTATGAAGAAGTATAAGGCTAAATATGGTTGCGCAGTGCAAAGATACCATTATAACCCCTTTCTGTAGGCTCATGAAGACGGCCTTGTTTAACAGATAAACATCTTAGGTTTCCAAAAACATGATTTTAACGTTTTTTAAACAGAATATTCAACAAGTTGGCCAAGAAAAACCAAGCGATCTGTTACTCAGCCGAACTACATTTCCAGAAAGCTAAATAGCGACCTCCCATAATTACCTAGTACTAAACCATTACCTTAGTGACGTGTGCATAGCTCGCACAGCTGGAACTAATGGAAAAATCATGGGTCTTCTTGGATTTGTTTGATTCAGCATGTAAAATATAATTCCAAATGTATGACTTTCTATTTGAAAGTGAAGCATTCCGTGACAGCAAAACACAAATAGCCTTCCCTGCCTGTGAATTTGTGGATGCGAAAGAATGTGGATGTCACGTACCGTTAACAAGCGCTCCAGACAGTATTCTTCATATTCGAGGTTTGCCTTCCAGCGTTCTGAATGTTATTCGAACGCTATCTAGCCGGTCGACACGTCTCCTATCCTCTATGAGGGTTGAATCAAACACCGCTTTTCAGAGACGTGTTGGAATCAGATGTTTTCCGCTAAGATGTGCCCCCAGAACGCGCCGCTATGTGGTGAATTGGCGACTCCCCTACCGCGCACTGGGCTCCTGCTACCTCCCAATTTAACCCCTCGCACGCCAGAACGTCAGGAGGCACTATTGCGCCTGTAAAGGCCACACATCTACACCAACCAATGATGAGACCAATAGGACGATTGAAATGTAACCATTGTTTCATCCTCATAACCTGCAGTCCTGCGGGTTTAGGGTCATTAAATATTGTGTGGATGAAGGGCAGGTTGAATAAAGAGAAAACAATACATTAGAAAACCATAAATGTATAATTATTGTATAATTTATATTGATAGGCTACATTGAGTTTTTTATTTCATTATTTTCGGCAATCTGGCATTAGTGCATATGCCTAAACTTTAGGGCCTTACTGTATGCGCGCCAAATATGCCAATTACCAAATGCTTAAAAATGTTAAAAATGTTAAAAATAAAGAGAAGGGAGGGCCAGAAAAGTAATGTTTGGGAAATATTTGGTGAGGTGGTAAAAGAGGATGATAGCAGTGCAGGCTATGTTATATGTGTGATAATTGTGAGGCGCTTTACAAACTCGACTGTCTCAAGATGGGGACTTCAAATAGGCCTATGGCACTTCAACTGTAGCCTACTGTTCAGATGGGTTAAATGGAAACTGAAATCTGGACACTGACTGTAGGTCTATAACCTCTCACATAGCCTTAATATTAACTCCTGCACGATTAAGTATTTCTTGCAGTAAATTGATACACCAAATGTAGGCAACATTTTGACTAGGGAACAGGAGTAGAGACATTTGATTTATTTATTTCAGCATCTTGAGAGAATGCTAATGCACAGTTAGATACCATCTGTAGAGGTGCTATCTTCATCAGCATCATTAAAGCTGATAGTAGGCTATTTCAACCACATAGAATATGCATCCAAGCCCAACTGAAATCTTATCAGAAACATTTTTGGTCATTCTCACAGCTTTCTATGTCCTTACAACAGGTCAAACTGATGTAATTTTGACATTTTGCACAGAAAATCTTTCCACTTTTTATTTTTTAAGGCAATTGCATTTTCTCCCCAGTCCCTAAAAGTCTTTGAACTCCACTGAAGCAAGGGTTTGTTTAGTCTTCTAGGGCAACATATAATGACAGAAGAGAAGCTGCATGTATCTAATTATAGACGAGTTGACTAACAAATAGCCAACCAAAATGTTGGAAATTATAAGCAGAAACATATCTAAATCAGGTTAAAAAAAATAATCCTGCACCCCCTGTTAACAAATGTTCAATATTAGCAGGTTAGGGATGGGTGCGGGCCTCAGATTATCACTTCATCACATATAGTCGGGCAGTTGCGTGCACCACTATCCTCTTACACCTCACATAAAAAATACTTGCAACCTGGTATTGCCTTCAGTTTTATAAAAATCTGTGGGCCATATTACTTAGCTATGAGATCTATGTAGCCTAAGCCTATAAGAACATTATCAGATATTTGCTGATGTTCTTTGCAGATTAATTTTTATTTATTTTGCCCACTGCACTACCCCAGGTTTGTTTGACCCAGATTTAGTAGGTTTATAGTAGGCCAAAGACAAACATTTTAAATGCAATTTACAGTAAGTTAAAATATTTCAGTAGGACATGCTTAGAGCAGCATTTGTCAAAACCTCCATCAGAGGAAAAAATAGAGGAGGATATCAGTATATCCTTTTAAACCTTACACCTATTGTTCACAATGGGCATGATGACAATACAATGGAAAGTGGTTGTTGAAGTGGCTTTTCACAACAGTGTTAGTGTATGTGTCCATGCTTGCATAGTTTCAATAATTTGTGCATGCACATGTATGTTTGCGTGCATGTGTGTGGTGTGTGCCTGTGTGCATGCATGCATGTGTGTGTGTGCGCGCGTGTGTGTGTGTGTGCGTGCGCTAGTGGTCAGCTGTTTGTTAACCCTCACCTGCCCGCAATTGCTAATAACCCATCCGCATCGCCCAACAATATGTGATGATTGATTAAGTGAAAATCTGAGGCCACCCAACCCTAACCCGCTAATATTGAAAATGTGCTGTAGGCTAAATCAAAATCAAATCAAATCAAATGTTATTTGTCACATTCACCAAATACAAAAGGTGTAGACCTTACCGTGAAATGCTTACTTACAAGCCCTTAACCAACAATGCATTTAAAAAAAACATTTGTTAAGAAAACATTTACTAAATAAACAAAAGTAAAAAATTAAAAAAATTAAACAGTAATAATAAAATAACAATAATGAGGCTATATACAGGGGGTACCGGTACCGAGTCAATGTGCAGGGGTACAGGTTAATCGAGGTAATTGAGGTAATATGTACAGTGAGGGAAAAAAGTATTTGATCCCCTGCTGATTTTGTACGTTTGCCCACTGACAAAGACATGATCAGTCTATCATTTTAATGGTAGGTTTATTTGAACAGTGAGATACAGAATAAAAACAGAAAAATCCAGATTTTTTTTTATAAATTGATTAGCATTTTAATGAGGGAAATAAGTATTTGACCCCTCTGCAAAACATGACTAAGTACTTGGTGGCAAAACCCTTGTTGGCAATCACAGAGGTCAGACGTTTCTTGTAGTTGGCCACCAGGTTTGCACACATCTCAGGAGGGATTTTGTTCCACTCCTCTTTGCAGATCTTCTCCAAGTCATTAAGGTTTTCGAGGCTGACGTTTGGCAACTCGAACCTTCAGCTCCCTCCACAGATTTTCTATGGGATTAAGGTCTGGTGACTGGCTAGGCCACTCCAGGACCTTAATGAACTTCTTCTTGAGCCACTCCTTTGTTGCCTTGGCCGTGTGTTTTGGGTCATTGTCATGCTGGAATAACATTCCACAACCCATTTTCAATGCCCTGGCTGAGGGAAGGAGGTTCTCACCCAAGATTTGATGGTACATGGCCCCATCCATCGTCCCTTTGATGCGGTGAAGTTGTCCTGTCCCCTTAGCAGAAAAACACCCCCAAAGCATAATGTTTCCACCTTCATGTTTGACGGTGGGGATGGTGTTCTTGGGGTCATAGGCAGCATTCCTCCTTCTCCAAACACGGCGAGTTGAGTTGATGCCAAAGAGCTCAATTTTGGTCTCATCTGACCAAAACACTTTCACCCAGTTCTCCTCTGAATCATTCAGATGTTCATTGGCAAACTTCAGACGGCCCTGTATATGTGCTTTCTTGAGCAGGGGGACCTTGCGGGCGCTGCAGGATTTCAGTCCTTCACGGCGTAGTGTGTTACCAATTGCTTTCTTGGTGACTATGGTCCCAGCTGCCTTGAGATCATTGACAAGATCCTCCCATGTAGTTCTGGGCTGATTCCTCACCGTTCTCATGATCATTGCAACTCCACGAGGTGAGATCTTGCATGGAGCCCAAGGCCGAGGGAGATTGACAGTTATTTTGTGTTTCTTCCATTTGTGAATAATCGCACCAACTGTTGTCACCTTCTCACCAAGCTGCTTGGCGATGGTCTTGTAGCCCATTCCAGCCTTGTGTAGGTCTACAATCTTGTCCCTGACATCCTTGGAGAGCTCTTTGGTCTTGGCCATGGTGGAGAGTTTGGAATCTGATTGATTGATTGCTTCTGTGGACAGGTGTCTTTTATATAGGTAACAAGCTGAGATTAGGAGCACTCCCTTTAAGAGTGTGCTCCTAATCTCAGCTCGTTACCTGTATAAAAGACACCTGGGAGCCAGAAATCTTTCTGATTGAGAGGGGGTCAAATACTTATTTCCCTCATTAAAATGCAAATCAATTTATAACATTTTTGACATGCGTTTTTCTGGATTTTTTTGTTGTTATTCTGTCTCTCACTGTTCAAATAAACCTACCATTAAAATTATAGACTGATCATTTCTTTGTCAGTGGGCAAACGTACAAAATCTGCAGGGGATCAAATACTTTTTTCCCTCACTGTACATGTAGGAAGGGGTAAAGTGACCATGCATAGATAATAAACAACGAGTAGCAGCAGCGTAAAAAGGGTGGAGTCAATGCAAATAGTCCGGGTAGCCATTTGATTAGCTGTTCAGCAGTCTTATGGCTTGGGGGTAGAAGCTGTTAAGAAGCCTTTTGGACCTAGACTTGGCGCTCCGGTACCGCTTGCCGTGCAGTAGCAGAGAGACCAGTTTATGACTAGGGTGGCTGGAGTCTTTGGCAATTTTTATGGCCTTCCTCTGACACCGCCTGGTATAGACGTCCAGGATGGCAGGAAGCTTGGCCCCATTGATGTACTGGGCCGTATGCACTAACCTCTGTAGCGCCTTGTGGTCGGAGGCTGAGCAGTTGCCATACCAGGTAGTGATGCAACCAGTCAGGATGCTCTCGATGGTGCAGCTGTATAACTTTTTGAGGATCTGAGAACCCATGCCAAATCTTTTCAGTCTCCTGAGGGGGAATAGGCATTGTCGTGCCCTCTTCACGACCGTGTTGGTTTGTTTGGACCATGATCGTTTTTTGGTGATGTGGACACCAAGGAACATGAAGCTCTCAACCTGCTCCATTACAGCCCCGTCGATGAGAATGGGGGTGTGCTCGGCCCTCCTTTTCCTGTAGTCCACAATCATCTCCTTTGTCTTGATCACGTTGAGGGAGAAGGTGTTGTCCTGGCACCACACTACCAGGTCTCTGACCTCCTCCCTATAGGCTGTCTCATCGTTGTCTGTGATCAGGTCTACCACTGTTGTGTCGTCGGCAAACTTAATGATGGTGTTGGAGTCGTGCTTGGCCACACAGTCATGGGTGAACAGGGAGTACTGGAGGGGACTAAGCAGGCACATCCTGAGGGGCCCCCGTGTTGAGGATCAGCGTGGCAGATGTGTTGTTGCATACCCTTACCACCTGGAGGCGGCCCGTCAGAAAGTCCAGGATCCAGTTGCAGAGGGAGGTGTTTAGTCCCAGGGTCCTTAGCTTAGTGATAATAATAATAATATAATATGCCATTTAGCAGACGCTTTTATCCAAAGCGACTTACAGTCATGCGTGCATAAATTTTTGTGTATGGGTGGTACCTTGGCGTTACAAGCGCCGTGCTCTACCAGCTGAGCT